CAAAGGTGTCTTCACCTTGGAACATGGCAGTGACTTTGGCACATGTGAAGAACAAAAGATGACAGTGCATCTGATGGCATCTGATAAGTCCTCTCCCAGGAATGGCATGAGGCCATGCAGGAATGCTCTCATGCTTAAAAGGGCCAAGCCTTTGGGATAAGAGACCCTGTGCTGCCAGGCGAGTCCCTGGAGGGGAGGAAGGCCTCATCTGTGGGCATCTACCCAGCCTCCACACCAGAGCTGGCCGGGGCAAGATACAGAATGGCAGATGTGCAAACACCATAAATGAATCACTGCCACAAGGAGACCGGGTAAGTCCTATCCTATAAAGTATGAAATAGGAAAAATTTTTAAGATTTTATAAGTCCATAGTTTGCTTAGACTATATAATTTTCATCAGTATTATATTTTTATTAAAAGGTTTATATGAGAAAAAATGAAAAAAAGGTAAATCTTTGATACATGAAAGATGAGCCACATGCGATTCTCTCCATCACCCAAGACCCAACACTTCATCTGCTCTTGTTTTCATAATGTAAATATGACCCAGGGTCATACAATCTATTTTTTCACATAATCAAACACTGAAGTCAACTTTATGGAACACTAAGCAAGCATCAAAATAACATTAGGAGAATAAACATATGTACCACACACTTTCTCATTAAATTTTAGACACTGTTGGGTAAAGGAATGAGGCTAAAGCTGTGCAGGCACAGGCAGACAGCACGAAGTTAGGAGACATCAGTCCGGCTCCTCCCAAGCCCTTGCACTCCCATATAAGACAGTCATTAGAGGCAATGTGATGTGAGGAGGAACGTATAAAATCAAAACCATTATACTGTACCACTTTCTAAACTGATATTCTTCCTGCAGATAGTAATGCAACCTATATAAAACAGAAACCAGTAGTCAATGTGTGAAACTATACATGCAGGTAAATGAATTACTTACAATGTGAGAATAGTAATTAAGACTTATAAAGAAGTGCAAGTGGAATTTCCCAAAAGACAGGCATCAGTGGTCAACCTGAAATTCACCTTCTGAAGAAAGTAACAAGGCTTTGGAGGAAATAAAGATGATGCCAGGACTCCCAAGAATCACACAGAAGGGTGACAGTGGGATCCTCTGCTCAAGATCCATCTAGCACAAGAGCTTCCCTGCAATGCCTACCTGCATTGCTAGCATCATTGCTCTTATGGTTTGGGGCTATTATTAAGTAAAAGGCTACCTGAGCGCAAGCTGTGATAACTGTGACAGTTGATCTAAAAATGGAGATGGCTACCAGGTGACTAATAGGTGGTGTACATACAGTGGGTAGAGGATAACATACATCTCCGTGGGATGGACCAAGATTGCACCTTACAACACAAAATGGCTTGCACCTTAAATCTAATGAAGTGCTTCTTTCTGCAATTTTTCATTTAATATTTTTGGACCCCAGCTGAAAAAACAGCAGAAAATCCAGGGAAGGAGGGACCACCTCAAGAACAAAGTATTCAAAGTATTCAAAAATCAGTTTTACCATACACATGCAAGGTCTCTGTGCTGGAAATTACAGGGCACTGCTGAGAAAAATAAAAGAGAACTCAAAACAACATAGAGATAAACCATATCACAAATTAACAAACAATACTGAGATGCCAGCTTCCCAAAACTGACACATTGAACTCCCTTCCAAATCCTAATAAGAATCTTTGCAAAATTTGACCCCTTAACTCAAAGTAGTGAGAAACTGAATGACCTAAAAGCTCAAACAACCTTTTTAAATGGGAGTTGAAGGAGCCACCCTACATGATGTCAACATTACTTTGGAGCCATGTAGCCACATCAGCATAGAGCTGGCACAAAGCAAGATCAGCTGAACCAGACAGTATGCCCAGGACAAGACCTGAAACAGGGTCAACTGACTTTTCATAAAAGAACCAGGTGATTCAATGAAGAAAGAAAAGTTTGGGTTTTTTTCCAATAAATGCTAGAACAACTAACCAACTATATAGAAGAAAAAACTGTGCCTCACCCAGGAGTAATTCAAAATGGGTCATATATCCAAACATAAAATTTTTTTTTAAAAGTTCTTAAAAGAATTGTAGGAGAATATGTTGGTGATACTACAGTAAGTAAATACTACAGAAGACAAAAATTTGCACAAAGTAAAAGTAAAAACTGACAAATTGACTTCCTCAAAATTGAAATTCTCATCAAAAGATACTATTAGCGAAATAAAAATTCAAGTAACTGTCAAAAAAAATCACAGTTCATGTATCTGACAAAGGACTTGTATTAAAAACCATAAGCCAACAACAAACAAAAATTAAGAAAATCAGATATAAATGGGCAAAAGATTTGAAAGTGCAAATTAAAACTTCAATGAGATATTTCATACTCACCCAAAGGACTAAATTTTTAAAACCTGACAATATCAAGTACTGGCAAAAAGGTGGAGCAACTGAAACTTTCACATATTATAAGTAAAATGACAGAACTTTGGGGAAAGTTTTGGCAAGTTCTTTATCAAGCTAAATAAACAATGGCCAGTAATTCTCCACCTTGGAATTTACTTAAGATAAATGAGAACAAATGTCTACAAAAAGGTTTCACCATAAAGAGGTTTGGTCAAGAATCCACAAACAGCACTGACTTAAAGGCATAAATGGTGAATTAACTAATGGTCAACTTGTAGCACCGAGGTGAACTAAATCAGCATGGTGCTGGGTGTGGAAAGCCTACCTGAGATTGTTGCCGACAGCATAAAAAAACAGAACTGGTGGGAAACATGGTGTGCTATCGATTCTCCTGGAGAAGCTTGTCACAGAACTCAGCTGTTCTCATCATTGTAAGAGCTTGGGTCCTGGCTGTTACTGAGGATGGCTGTGGTTCTCTTAAAGGGAGCTCTGGTCCTTACCTTGAACATTGTTTCCTGGCTCCAGTGCAGATCCCTCAGTCTGCTGGCACAGATACTTCATCATGCTGGTGTATGCTTTCTAGCTTCCATCACTGACCTTTGGACATTCCCAGTGCAGATCTCTGATACAGATTTGTACAAGACATCGCCATGGGCTCTAGGCCTCCAGTTGGAGTTGTGGAGGACGCTGGACTCAGGTAGGACATTGCCCAAGTGTGAACAGATCTCCTGCACTCTTTTGCATTTTACTCTTTGGGTGAACACTACAAAATAATCCTATAAATTATGTGTCCTGTATTAAATTTTTTCCCTTGTAAACCCTGACTACAACAGCACACAAGAGAACTTTCTGAGGTGTTCTAGATCTTAGTAGGGGTCTCAGTCTGGAGAATAGACAGCAAAGCTGGGAGACCACTGAGCTCCCCAGGCTCTCACTCCTCCAGCCTCTAGAGTAGTGATAGCAAACCTTTTAGAGAATGAATGCCCAAACTGCAACCCAAAACCCACTTATTGATTGCAAAGTGCCAACACTTCAATTAAACTTGAGTATGAGGCTTCAGTTTAGAAAAACAACTCATATATTAACATCTTTTTTCTTGAAAAATAACATGCATGCCCTATGTTCACTGCCACTGCTCTAGAGTCTAGCTACAAGTGCACCTTCCTGACAGATGTCATCTGCACCCTATTTAGGCCATTACTTGGCAGTTGCCTTCACAACTGAATCTAAGTCTAACTTCAGACAATTCATAAGACAGGAACTCAAAATTAAGCCTCTTTACTCTATTCCTATATGATCCATAATGGGAATTAAACCAAGTATCTTACAATGCATACCTTCTAGTTTTTCTTATCCAAATCTGTTTTAAGAGGTACCTTTACTTTTTCACCACAAGAAAAAAGCTAGCACATAATTTCTATGATTTATTGTGCAACTGAACATGCTAGGAGACAAAATGACATTTTCCTCTACAAATTATTTGGTGCCTGTGATATTGTGAACACCACAACCAGATGGTTCTCATAGAAACTGAGAAGATAGTATTCATATAGTTCAAAGGTTCACTTATTTTTTAGTCTCAAAAAAGGCTATATTGATTGTAACATGCAGCTCTACAGGAAAAACCCCGACAGTGGAGGGGAATGCTGATATTTATTACTGCACTTGTGCTCATTATGGCTGTCTCTGACAGGGGTCCATTAAAATCAATTTTTATGTTTCTTATGTATTTTCTTTATCTAATGTTCTTGGCATTGTGTTTATTAGCCAGTTAAGACAAACGCCAAGTATAGGAGTGGGTGATTTTTTTCCTTCTGTCAGGAATAACAAGAACTGCAATTTTAATACAGCTGCTCACAATCAATGAATGGAGGAAATTAAATGTTACATTTCAGAACAAAACATTAAGAAGTGCTTTAAATTTTTTATGTTTTTTACAATTAGAGAAATATAGTGAGGATCATGCAAAAAGAAGCACGTATCCTCTTAGAAGGAAACAGCAACACTCTCCGCGGCCCTGGAAAGGACTTTGAGGCTTTTCTCCTAGTGTCTGTGCTCTTAGCACACACACCCACAGCTCTCTACGCCTCCAAGAAGGCCATGGAGCGCCACGGGCAATTCTAGAATTGATAGCTGTGCAAGCCTCATGGGTGGCCCCTGACAAACTAAAGATGGGGTTTGATTTTTTTAAAAAAAAATCCAGATTAGGCACACATCTCCCGACTACCAAATTTCCAGAGACATTCCCCTACTACATCACCTGGATTCAAGAATCAAAGTGCTCAAAGTTCACACTCAAACAACTCCTCTACAAAAGTACAGATGAATCAAATGTCTCAGAGCTACTAGTGAAAAGTTATATCCCTATGGTAAATCAGAGATAGAGGATTCATTCCCTGGCAACACACAAGTGACTGAAAGGACAATCAAAGTAGACCACATTCAGAAACACTAATAATTGTGGTTGGCAGTGTCACAGTCTGCTTTGTGCTGGGATCAATGGGAAACAAGCAGTAACCACATTTACTGTACTTCCTTCCAGTGCTTTCTGCCCATACAGAGGCGGTCAGCCTCAGCCATGCTGTTCACACTTACTCAGAGCTAGAGGTCTTCTGGTTGGGCAGCCTTATCCCATGCAGTCCTTGCTCACAACCAGATATCTCTATTTTCCCCAAGGGGCTGTCCAATATTTTGTATTTCATCTCACAGGTCTTGTCCATCCTGCCAAGGACCTAGACAAAAACAGTTTTTAAATCAAGAAAGTGTACGTAGAAGCATTCAGTCATGTATACAGCACAACAGAAACACCAGTTAACACACAAAATACGTTTCAAAGCTTCTTCCTCATTGTGGGAATTTAATCATATGTCACTCTTACAAGATAGTCACTTTAAGAGAAAATTACCACAATTACCTAGAGCAGCCAACCAACAGAAACTTCTTGCATTTCCTTAAATCACTATATCCCTGTCCTACCCATCTTCAACCAATGCATAGTTGAAGAAAGCTGAGCTGGCATGAGGTGTTCTTAGGAAGTACCTAAAACTAAGCTGACCTTGTTTAATAAGATAATTACTAGATGATGAAAACTGAAGACAAACCATTCTGTATTTTGAATAAAGTACAGTAAAACCTTGGTTTGCAAGCATAATTCATTCTGGAAACATGCTTGTAATATAAAGTACTTGTACAACAAAGTGAATTTCCCCACAAAAAATAATGGAAACTCAGATGATTTGTTCCACAACCTAAAAATATTCATATACAATTATAATACTATAATACAAAATAATTAAAAATACAAACCATAAAGAAAAACAAATTAACCTGCACTTACCTTTGGAAGCCTTTATGGATGGTGTGAGGGAGGATAAGAGAGAGGTAGAGTTATTGTGTAGGATGACTTTCCCTAGCATTAAAGGAATCAGTGCTATCTATTGGCTCAATGGAATCTTTTTCTTTTTGTGCAACTTGAACAAGGAACCTATCCAAGGTCATGTACATTTGCCTCCTTTTGAAAATTGTATGGAAATGTGACATTACACTGTAGTTAAACAGACTGCTCGCTCACACTGCTACAGCCTTATTCAGGTGGTGCTTTTCTAAAATACTTTGCACTATTTCCCACATTTTACACATCTCCATAATCTCAATAGAAATGAGGAACTGCTCTGCCTGTTTCTCCTCCTCCTCTGCAGATGAGATCTCCACAACCTTTCGTTGTTGGAGATGATCACCCACAGTCCCGCAACAAGAGAATGAGAAGAGCCATTGGCTCAGCTGTGATCATGTGATGTTCAGCATCACACATTACTCATATTGCAAGACACTGCATGTTTATCAAGTTAAAATTAGGAATGTTTGCTCACCTTGAGGAACACTTGCAGAGCAAGTTACTTGCAATCCTCTGAGGTTGTACATTTATAAGCAAAGCCTAGGGCTGAGGGCATAGCTCAGTTGTTGGCTAGTATGCACAAGGCTAGGCATGCCCTGGTAGCTAAGTCCAATTCCCCAGCACTACCAAAAGAAGGGAAACATGTGATACGCATTACATGGTGGAACAGAAGCAAGACTGAGCCAGCACCAACACAGGGCACTTGTTAACTTGTTAGCAGGTCCCCAGGAGATAAAGAGCAATGCTGCAATGAATCGCTATGCTGTGGAAATCATATAAACTTAATTTACACTCAAAGAATTGGGCAAACGTTGTCCTGTAGATGTCTCCTCTGGATCAACAATTTTGATAGATTTTAATTTTGGTTAACATAGCAAGGGCTAAAAACAAAGATACACTAAGAGCAGTAAGAAGCCAGCAATGGAGCTTAGAAAAATTAATATGCTAAGAAAACCACCCTCGTCCAGGCAAGAAGACAATGCAGAGGAACTAGGACCTATATCAGATGGAGCCCTTTGCTCCTCTCTCCCTTATAACTCCTTAAGAACCTGGAAACACAGAGGCTCGTTGCCTCTCCACTACCCTCTATACCAAGGATGCCTAGAAGTCCACCTGTGATTCCGTCTACCAGGAAAAGAGGGAAGCCCCTGACTTCTGTCCAAGATCTTTCTCTAAGTGGCAGACTTAGAAGCCAGCCCAGATTTCTTGCTGCCTCTGCTTTTTTGTGCTAACACTATTTGAATGACCTTATCCAAGACCATCACCTTGCAAAAATGTTTTCTTCTATGTAGCATTTTATGGAATGGCATTACCATCTACCTTCTCTATCACAAATCAGGACTTTCCTAGGAATTCTCCTCTAGCCCACCGTGTTTACACCTATGCATCTGTAACATCTTATTTTTCGGCTTGTAAACCCAGCATGGCATCCATCACGGCAGCTTCAAAAAAAAAAAAAAAATACAGAAAACATCATGGCAGCTTCACCTAGAGGGCTTCATCACACCTCACCAGCATGGGCAATGCCTTCCTCATAACTCCATTTTTTTTTTTTTGTAATGTAAAACCACGTACTTAATTCTAAATCAAAACACAGCAATAAAAATTAGTGACTGACCGTGGTATGCTGCTATACATACTGCCATTTCCTGACTGTGGTCAGGACCTAGTCCTAGTCCACCAGGGTGGCAGAAAAGTAAAGGCAAAGAAAATACACACACAAGAAAGGTAAGCAGCCTTAGCAGAGGAGTGAGGAGCCTGCTGAAGGGCAAGAGGAAGGGGACTCCATTGGTGCTGGGCCAGCAGGCCCAAGTTGGCTCTCTTGTCCCACAGCTTGATGGAGGATGAGTGGGACCTATAAAGTTCACGATCAGGGCACACGGCCAATCAGGCTTTGCTAACAAGTTCCTGGGATGCTTTTGCTGGGGGTAGGGTGTGGCTCTCTTGGGTTCTATTTCATTAAAGATTCTAAGTGATCTGTCTTCCTACTGACAACTCTTTAATCTTTCTTCTGAGCCCAACTGGATGAAGTTAACTCTTCCTCCACTAGTTGGGGCCACTGTACTGGGGGAATAACATGAGAGCAAAGACAATCCACGGGGACCTGTGACTTTGGGTCCAGAAGTTGATAAAAAAGTACTCTAGAGGGGGATGCCCAAGAATGTTTAAAATCCATCAGGCACACTGTAAAGTTGCTGACTTATTCCTACAGGTGGATTTGGCAAATCAACCACCTACTCAATACTTTATGTATTTTTTAAACACTGAACTCTGGCATTAGTCGGTACAAAGGAAAAGTGCTGAGGACCTTACTGCTGGGGCTTTCTACTATTTGTTGGCTATTGCTGGTGGTGAGCCAGAAGTGGTGTGGATTGGCAAAGTGAACAAGAGGTCCACCGCAGAAGTCCATCTCCCCTCACCATGGAGGTCTCCAAGAAGCTAAGCTTCTAGGATGCAGCCTGGAAGGTCAAGAAAGAATTGTCCTCCCAGGTGCACTGTCTATCTCCCTGGCACTACATTCTTGCAATCAGGATGATGCTTATAACAGTGAAAATAAAATCACAGGCTTAGGAAAAATAATTTCCCTTAGATTGCACAGAGAAAGAAGACCCTATCATACCATTGTGCTGATGCTCCCTAGGCCTGCTGTCTGGCTTTACAGACTATCAGGAGTTGCCTGTTCAGGTGTCACACACTTTGCCAGCTTTAGCACACATACAAGGAGTTTGGGGGGGGGGCTCTACCAAACCATACCAAAAGCAGCATCACAAGTGGGTCATCCTCCTCCTTGCCTCTTCATAATGGACAACTTGACTTCTGAGGATGGTGGTCTTCCATATGCAGCTGAGCTGATCTGACAAAACCTCCAGCTTCCTCTGGGCAAGGATGCCCTCAGAGTTTGTGCAGCACAGGGGACAGGGCTACTTGTTCAGTTGTTCCTGCATCAGAGCTCTGAAGGCCATGGACAGCCAAATTCCAAGTCTTTCTTCATGCATGGCAAGCAGTCCAACATAACTGTCACCCCTCAACATTCATGCAGCACATGCCAATGCTAACTATATCCAGGAGCTAGAGCAAGTTCAGTAACTACAGCCCACAGTGCTAAACGTGGCTCATCACATGCTTCTGTAGATCAAGTTTTACTGCAACAGCCATGCCGCAGTCACTTGTTCACCTATAGCCTACTACTGCTTGCTGTACAATGGCAGAACTGACGAGGTATGAAGGGTACAGTATGGCCCTTAAAGATCTGGCACTCAAAAGAGGTCTCCCAACCCCTTTAAGGATCCTCACTGACACCCACAATCTCTGTCCAAATCTCCAGGCCTTCCTCACCACGCAATCTTAATTCTCTCTGCCTTTGCTGGAATGCCCTCTCCCTGCCTGCCTACTACTGGGTTACCTGTCCACCATGCTGCTTAGTGTCTCCCATACTGGCAAACTGTCCTACATCACCAGTACTCCCTATTAAGCTTTCTCTGTGCATTACAATGCTTGCAATACCATTCTCTGATCTCTCTCCATCAGTGAAAGAAGAAGTGCATTTAGTCCATCAGAGAAGACAGACCATGCTCCCCCACCACATAGGTGCTTTGTAAGCACTGCACCCAAGATTCAACCCTTAGCAATCAGACCTCATAGCTGTGCCAAGTGAACTCCCTTTTTGGGCAGGAGTCTAAAACTATTTCACTCCAGGGTACCAGGGCGGGACTTGCTGAGAGACCTCACCCTCACGTCATAGATCAGAGTGGCTCCTTGACTACATCATACTCCTTAGGCATCCCAACCTCAGGGGCTCTCCATTGCATACAGGATAAAAGCCAAGCTTTCTGAGATGGCCAAAAGGGCCCTCTGGAAGGAGCTGTCTGACTGTTACATCATCACATAGAGAAGAACCAGATAAAGGCAAGAGGTACAACTGTGGCCTCCTACAGCTGACCTGTTTTGTTGAAAAAGTCCCTTAAATCTCTCTCCATTTAAATAATGTTTTTTATCTGTAGAAAGAAAAATAAATATGTAGATGGAATGGTCAGCATAATCATTACAAGGACTGTATATAAAGAACTGGCATGAAAAAGGGTGTAGTATTATCCCACTGCAATAACGAAAGCCCTTGGCTTGGATAGTCTGCCTTTCTCCTCAAATATCTCATTAAACAGTACCAAAATCTTGCCTACTCTTCTAAAGTGACTGCCACCTCTTCTCCCTCTATCCTGGGGTCCCTCCTCATTTCTTTATTCTGCAGTCATTCCACAGACGCTTCAGGACAGGGAGCTGGCATCCCACAAAGGCATAGGCATCACATGCTTAAAGACTTATAAAGCATTTGTTGAATTT